TGGGACTTGGAAATAATTCCTAAAGGAGCCAAAACAAAAACAGTAGGCTGCAAATGGGTCTACAAAACAAAACTTAACTCTCAAGGAAATATAGAGAGATACAAATCATGACTTGTAGCAAAAGGCTTTACACAAAGAGAAGGGATTGATTACAATGAGACCTTTTATCCAGTCTCATGTAATGATTCCTTCAGAATCATAATGGCATTAGTGGCACATTACGATTTAGAATTACATCAGATGGATATAAAGACGATATTTCTCAACGGAGACTTGGAGGAAAATGTTTACATGGCACAACTGAAAGGTTTTGTCATGGAAGAAAAAGAACGAATGGGATGCCGCCTAAAGAAATCCATTTATGGATTAAAACAAACTTCAAGACAGTGGTACTTGAAGTTTGATCAGACAATAAGGAATTTTGGGTTTAAAGAGAATATTGAGGATAATTGTGTCTATGCAAAGTTTAAGAATGGGAAGTTTATCTTCCTTGTCCTGTATGTGGACGACATCTTACTTTCTAGTAGTGATGTCAGTCTACTACTGGAGACAAAAAAGTTTTTGTCCTCAAAATTTGATATGAAAGATCTTGGTGAAGCCTCGTTCGTTCTAGGGATCGAGATTTACCGAGATAGAAGTAAAGGGGTATTAGGACTGTCACAAAAGGCATACATAGAAAGAATCTTAAAGAAATTCAGTATGCACAAATATAGTCCCTCACCTGCTCCTATAGTTAAGGGCGACAGATATGGGGATTTTCAATGCCCCAGGAACCAATATGAGATCGATCAAATGAAAGCGGTTCCATATGCTTCAGCTGTTGGAAGCTTGTAATATGCTCAAGTATGCACGCGCTCTGACTTGGCATTTGTTACCGGGTTACTTGGTAGATTCCAGAGCAATCCTAGAACAGAACACTGGAAATTAGTAAAGAAAGTCTTACATTATTTACAAGGAACGAAAGGCCTCATGATGTATAGAAGATCTGGTTCACTCCATATAGTGGGATATTCAGATTCTGATTATGCGGGAGATGATAGAAAATCCACGTCTGGATATGTATTCACTCTCGCAGGAGTAGCTATTTCATGTAAAAGCTTAAAGCAAACCGTCACTACATCATCCACAATATATGCCAAGTTTGTAGCGTGTTATGAGGCAACAGGACAGGTGAACTGGCTAAAGAAGTTCATACCCGGTTTGAAGGTGGTTGACGACATCTATAGACCACTTAAGTTATACTACGATAATAATCCGGCAGTGCAGTATGCTCACAACAATAAGTCAAGTGGTGCTGCCAAACACATTGACATAAAGTATTATGTTGTGAAAGATAAAGTCCGGGATCATGTTATAAGTCTTGAGCATATAAGTACCAAAAAGATGCTTGCAGATCCGCTTACAAAAGGCTTACCACCTAACGTGTTTAGAGAACATATAGCCGGCATGGGTTTAAGGGAAAGCCTATAATTCCTGGATAAAAGAAGGCCCAAAGTAAAGTATCTATTTCAGAACAGAGTGGTGTGTTGTAACTGTTAAATCTATCTACAATTGACCGTGATGATGAAACATGCTCTACGCGCTAATCTGTAATGGAATAAACAAAAGTAAATGATATGAAATTGAAAGATGGTAGGAGATTAAGGGGGAGATTGTTAGATTGATCTCAATCTCAAACTGGGCCCAATGGCCCAGTTGGGCCTTTGATCCGCGCCCTAATCAGGGGCGCCCAGCCCAATATGGCTAGAGGGCCCCTGTCACACTGCGCAATAAATAGAGGTGGGGGTCGGTGGCTCAAGTCATGAGGTTCGCCTGAGCCGAGCTCCCCACCGACACCTAAACCCTAACCTGATCTAGAGAGGGGCGCAGCCAGTGATGGGAAGCCACCAGCCGCGCCGCCCGCTCCATCGACGTCGACGTCTTCACCGCCCTCTTCACCGACCGTCGCTGCCCGTGCGCAGACTACACCGACGAACGTGATGGCGTCCTCTGAACCCTCCCCCTCTGCAGTGTCAGGTTAAACACCTTCTCCCTTCCCTCTCTGTCTCTCTAGTTCTACATGTATTAGGATGTACTGCGTCTTTTATCCCGAATAGAATCACTCTACCGGCTAGATCTATGATCCTAGTGATCCTATAAGTCCAACAGCCTCGACTCCCTCTTTTACACTGGTCTCATGGAAAATTTGGAAGGAGTGGAACGCGAGATGTTTCAGAGAATCGACGGCGAATGTCAGCGAGCTCATGCACATCATCATGGCTGAAGCTGACTATTGGATTGAGGCAGGCGCGGCTGGATTAGGCGCCCTAGCATGAACCTAGCTGGCGCAAGTCTAAGTTTAGAATGTCAATTTTAAAATGTAGCCCGTAAGACAAAACTTGCCAACTGGAAATGGCTTCTTGTATTATATATTGTCGGTGCAGAAAGTGACCAACATGTAAATATTTGTAGTTTTGTCGTACGTTATGATCGAAGGTGGCCTAGCACTCAATGACACAGGGTTTATACTGGTTCAGACAATGTGTCCTACGTCCAGTTTGAGTCGGTCGGTGACTTTATTCCTGAGCCCAGGTGCTCGAAGTTTGCTGTGGGGTTACAAACGAGAAGAAGAAAGATGGGGTGTACAAGGGGTCCGGTCGGAAGGACCGAGAGCGACAAGAGCTCCACTATGAGCTATGTGTACAAGCGTGTGCTTGGGGTCCGAACCTGGCGGTTCTGTGGTTGTGAGTTATTGAGCTTGGTCGATCTAATGAATATGGAATAACTTGTATGAACTTGGATCAACTGAGTTTTCTGGGAGAGAGCGCATTTCCTTTTATAGATGAAGGGAATGGCCTTATAAGTGAGAGAAAAAGAGTATGAATGCTTCTAAACCTTGTTGCCCACGCCGGCAGGTATAAGATGATGGTAGGCACCCACAACACTGTTGGATGTCAGATGTATGTGGGAGGTTGCGTCGTTTTGTGCGGGTATGACAGATGTCGGTACCTGCTATATTGTTGATACCCAGAGATATGTGAGGAGTTTCACCATGTTCACTTGGTATGGTAAATGGCGGCACCCACAACACTGTCGATGCTCAGAGGCATGTGGGGGGCCTTATCGTATGGGGGTTAATGGCACCCACAATACTGTAGGAAAAATGTCGGCGTCTACAACACTGTTTGTGTCAGGGCGGTTGCAGAGTAATGTTCCTGTAGTTGTACAGGATATGGTCACTGGTATCGTGGTTTGACTTGTGCGCCTTGCCTTACTTTCTCCGTCCATTCCCTAGTCTTTTCCGAGCGGGCGTCCCCGATCGGTTGGTCCCAGTCAGCTCTGGTTGCACCGGTCGGAGAAGAGCAGCGAGCAGGGTCTTTGCATACCCCCAGTCGGAGTCGTGGGGTCGGAGTCGGAGGTAGCGTTTTGTCAGGCCTTCCGATCGGAGAGACCGTCCGGAGGCGGCTGGAGACCGAAGTGAGCGCTCCGGTCGGAGAGGTGGGCCGGAGTCGACAAACGGGCGCTGCTCCTCCTCGGCCAGACCTTCTGGTCGGTGATTGGATCGTCCTTCTAGCCTGTTGTTTAGACTCTTGGGCCGACTTATGAGTTGCGTGCTGTCTGCTTAGGTCGAGCCTTTGCATGGAAATCGGTCCGCGAGGGACCCCGGGTTTATGAACCCGACATATACTTTCTGCCTTCTAATACAATACAATGATACGCACACTCATGTGAATTCGAGGAAAAAAAAGAGATGTCATGGGTAAGGAGTCGGTATCAGGTGTCAGTTTCTGTTTCTGAACCTTGCTTTTTTCTATCGCTGATAGTGATGCTCGGGGCGGGCTGAGAACCTGCAAGATTTGCTGCTCCATGAACCTGAACTGTCCCAATTGGGCAGGCCTAGACTCCGAAATCACAGGCGCTGGCTCCTTTCAGTACTTTCTAAATGGTTAAACATGCATCCAAATGCAGGATATTTAGGATGCTATGGGCCACGAGAAAGAGGGTCACAGCAGCTCAACGCATCCAAATCCATGGTCATTCAAGAGCATAGTTCCTGTTGTTACCATGTAGAAACTGTAAATTGGTTCCCTTCATAGTTCGTACATACAAAGAGAGGATGTTGCCTTAATTGTAAAATCTAGTCTAGTTGTTATGCTGCAAATAATAGTGAAATCTAGTCTAGTTGCTTCAGAAAACCAACAGTAACATCAGCTATCATATGCCTTAAAACTGGAGAGATTTTTCATTTGCAATAACATGTACATAAGCTGACGATTCATGTACCTAGTACAAGTTATTTTTGGGTTCCTTCTAATCCTTCTATTTTGAGGAGCGTAAACCATTGAACTTGCCTGCTCTAAAGTAACATTAGCCCATGTCAGTTAAAAAAAAAATTAGCCCATGTCATTTTGAGGGCAAACTATTGGGCCACCCCTGTCAGAGCCCAAAAGGCCGCTACAGCCTTACATTCTCTATACTGGCCCACTAGCCGCACCCGGGGCCCAACATCCCTCCCCTCCGCAATCCACCCGCGCCATCGGTGGCATATCACCGCTTCCCTCTGCGTATACCCCAGAGTATCCATCCTCCTTCCGCGCCGCCGCCGTCTCCGCCTCTTACTCCGGCTGCCTTGTACCCCGCACCGCCGCAGTCACTCACCCCCTTCCTCTAGCGCCTGGAGCTGTGGGTGCTCGCCTCCCTCCTCACGCTCCGCAACGCCGTACTCCGTACTCGACGCCCGGTTCCGCTTCGCCAACCGCCTCACCCCCTTCCTCCAGTCCCCGCGCGCCGGACACCGCCTCCCTCTTTATAGTTGGTTTGTGCTCAGATTCGCTGAGGAAGGAGGTGCTGGTCCTGGATGTTGGTGCCTAGTTCGATTCTCTGAGGAACAGAGAAGGGACGCACTGGCACGAGTCTCCAGTAGTCTGGAAGCAGGGGAGCTGGGCATGGGCATCTAGACCATAGACTTCAAGAAACCGTTGTGGGGACAGCGGAAGCCGGACGAGCGAGCGAACAACTAGATGGAGGCGCTGGTGCGGAAGGTGCAGCAGCGGGTGAGGAAGGCGCGGGAGGAGATGGACCAGTGGGATGACCTCAACACTCGGCTCCTCTCCCAATTCTCCAACGCTGCCGCCGTCATCTCTCGCCTTCAGGTACCTTCTTGGATCTCCCTCTCGTGCAGTCCCGACACTTGTGACAACCAGTTTGGCAGCCCAAGGTTTGACGACCATAATGCAGTTTGAGACTGTTCTTTCGTAATTGTTGCGAGCACTTTTCTGAGATTGAAACAGCAAATTTTAGGTCTTCCTTGAATCCGTAGTGATTCCATTAGCTATTGTTGATGTGCAGTTTTGCAATTCGTATAAGACAGCGAGTTGCTACTTGCTTGTATCTTTGAGAATTATGTGGAAAATGTATGACTTGCAGTGGCATGCAGTTGTGTTGTACTGTTGCCATTTTAGCTTCTTATCAACTATGTAGAGGAACCAAAATTTGATTGTTTGTGTCATTTAATAAAGGCCCTTGGAGAGGACAAGAATTATGGCCCCTTGCATGGTGTGCCCAACATCAGAGAGGACCTCATTGGGAATCAGATGGAGGTTCTGGAGTTCATTTTCGTTAAAATCAGGGAGACACTGTAAGCTACTTTGCTTTTTACATTTGTAGTTTCCTTCAATTTTGGTCTGAACAAACAAAGGGAAAATTCCAATTCAAGTTGGTCTGACAACAATGGTGCCAATTATTTAGGGAGAAGTTCAATGGCGTTGTGAAAGCTTTAAATAAGGCTCTGCGTGATACCAAGCAGATGGTGAGAGGCGGGTCGGCACTCACCGCAAAACAGATGCAGTTACAAGTGGGAATTTTGCCGTCGATTGCAGAATGCTTGAATGGATTTCAAACGTTATGCAAGATGCACCATGCTGAGTAAGAACGTAATTATGCTTAGGCCCCTTCCAACTGCCCAAGTTAATCATTTAATGCTTGCATTTGGTCTTGATATAACTATGCTGTTGTTATGTTGATGCATGTTGAGTTGTGTTTCTGTATAATATTTTGCTGGACCTGACTTATGATCCAATCCAAGCATGGCAATAGCTATGACTAAGAAGTTCAGTTCATGTTGATTTAAAATATTCTCAGTTGATAATAGAGCTGAATCCAACTTCTAACTGTTGTATGCTAATCCTCCAATTCAGACATTATTTATATTCTTCCATTGTCCTGATATTTTAAGACGTCACAGACCCATGTCCTGGCACTACTCTCACAGGAGTCACAGCACATGTGCATCAGTGCATGCAATCTTTTATTTCTCCTGCAGTAAAATGTCCCCTTTTTATTTTGCTGTGAACTTATCCTGGTTGCCATTTGACAGGTTTACACTAAAATCATCAGTTTTCTCCTTGCTGACATGGAAGAGCAGGTAAGTTCAATAGCTTTGCCATTCAGCTTTTGCTAATCACTCATGAATTTGTCCTCTCTGGAATTCATTCTCTGTCGATTTTCTTGTAGATGATAGCGATGCTTTATTCTTAATTAACTAGAGCAATCATGATGATATTTTCATTTGCAGTTCCAGTGACATTGCTGTACTACGTCAACTCTTAGTAGACCAGCCAAACATTCCAAGAGATGAAGGTGCAGAATGAAGAAAAAATAATAAAAATAGCTTATCTGGTTATAGTTTCAATTATGCCATTTTTTCATCAGTCTAATTACATAATTGACATTTACACTCTGCTTTCCTTATTTTTGCAGTCCAATCCATATTCGACATTATATTTGCGGATGAAATTTGTTGACCAGCTCATATTTGACTGTTGAAGCCTTGCCCCCTATGTTCTGACCAAGCTGCCTGCTCAGGTGATGACCGAGTCAGTCTTGAAATTTTATGTTTGATTAACCCAATTGTTGAGGCATTGTGGACGAGGCAAGTCTTCATCTCCGTCAGCATTGGTGATTGATGACCTAGAGGCTGGACCTGCCATTGGCCCTGTTCGTTTTGCTGAAAAGCCATGGCTAAAAGTACTGTTCGCTGATTTGTTGAGAGAAAAACACTGTTCGTTCGCTAAAATAGTACGGCACATAAGACAAGCGAACATGGCCATTGTGTGCCGGTCACGGAAGTGCGGTGGTCTGGGCATCTCTAACTTGACGTTCTTTGGGTACTCCTGAGCCTGAGATGGAAATGGCTCGTCGGTCCGTCCTGTGGGGTGTGGACAGTGATAGAACTTGAACAGTCTTGTCCCCTCCAAGCAAGAGGTTGTGATCATCAATCCATGGTTTCAGACTTGTATCAGGTTTGTGGTTGGCGATGGCATTTCTTTAGAACTAGCTGCACCTTGCCTCTTCCAGGTGGTGACCAGACGGTTTGGACGAAGGTTTGTGAAAGAAGCACTTTGCAATCGGCAGTGGGCTCAGAGACATCAGGGGTGCCTGAGCCCCTGACATTGCAAGTACTGGTGGAATACCTCCATATCCGGGAGGTGCTGGAGGGCGAGTGGTGCGGAGGTGACACGCCATGAACGAGCATACAGGAAAACATTCTAACTTTATGAGAAAAAGTTTCTGTTCTGCAATGGAAAAATGATGTATCGTGTAAATTAAATTATAGTCCACTTTGGTTTTGTAAGTGGTTAGTAATATGCATTGCACGTGTCCAATATCCTATGCAACACAACGCACATCAGGAGCTGCCTCAATTGCGTGACCCCAATCACACACGACCTCGTGTGGGCACTGGAGAAAACTAGCTGTTGCCCTGTACTGGAGGTGCGTTTTCCGGAGATATCCGGTGATCCTCTCTCCAAAACCTTGCTAAAAACCGGTATTGGAATTATGCTCCTGTGCAAACTCTGGTGCTCACACCGGAGAGCTCTCGTGAGCTTCCCACGCCACTGTAGGCAAACTTCGGTTCTTCCTCTCCGGTGAGCACTGGACTTTAACGTGCACGCGCTGAAAACTGGCGAAGTTAATGCACTGTTTGAATATAGAGACCAGGCCGGACCTTTCCACGCGCCGCCGACGAGCCGAGCTGCGCCGTGCATGGGCTCGTACCGTGCCACTCCATGACACGGCGGTCTGTTCGTTTGGTCGTAAACGATCGTAAATTTTCAGCTAGAACAATATTTTTCTCTCACACCAAACCAGCCAGCAGTAATAATCCACGATCGTATAAAATTGTTTCAGCCTCAGCCGAACATGCTAATGATGTGGTGCGGGTTGGGCTTGGTTTTACCACTTAAGAGTATAATTGGGAGTTTCACGAAATAATGGAGGAGTTTTAGGAGTTTCTATTTCTGTCCGTAACTCTTCCGGTGGGTAATTATGGGAATTTTTGTTTCTATACCCTTAACTTCTCCGATGGTTACTCCTCATCCTGACCTCTCGCTTCTATCCGTCCAGGTATAGAACATCGGCATACCTAGCACCCAGACGTCCGGCCCCCTGGGGGCGTCCGAACGTAGGTCCCAGGTAGCACCCTTGTCCCCCACCGCGTTCCGTTCCCCACCGCGTCCTGTTGCTCACCGCGCCCCTGACTCCGTTCCGCACCGCTCCCTATCCCCGTTCCTCACCGCGCCCCTGTTCCTGTTCCCCCACCGCGCCATGTTCCCCCACAGCGCCCCGTTCCCCCACAGCGCCCCTGTCCCCGTTCCACAACGCACCCCATTCCCCCACCGCGCCTCCTGTCCCAAGAGCACGAAAATTCTTCAAGTGCAACATCGCAAACATATGGAAAAACAATGTAGTGCCACATCAAAATATAAATGATGCAACATTGCAAAATTATGTAGTGCAACATTGAAAAATATGTACTGCAACGTCGAAAAAATATCTACTGCAACATCGAAAAACATGTAATGCAACATCGAAAAAATATGTACTGCAACATCGAAAAATATGTGCTGCAACATCGCAAAAATATGTAGTGCAACATTGAAAAAACATGTTCTGTAACATCGAAAAATATGTACTGCAACATCGAAAATTATGTACTGCAACATAAAAAATTATGTACTGCAACATTTCAAATAATAGTACTGCAACATCGTAAAAATCGACCATGAAACATGGAAATGAAAATATTCAAAAATCATCTATTGCAACAACCCAAAAATCCCATTACGACGTTCGAAAATCATCTGTTGAAACATCAAAAAACCCATTGCAATACGGAGAAACAACAAAAAAAAGGGCGTACAAACAGCAAGGGAATGGACTCGAGGTGCAGGCTGCTCCAGCTCTGACCCATCACCTTCGAGCTTGCCGGAGGGATGAGGGAATAGGACCCAGAGCTCGCCGGAACCCTAGTCACCGCCGCGTCCCTCAGATCCAGAGGAGGAGGAGGACGAGGAGGAGGACGAGGGCTCAGATCTAGAGGAGGAGGAGGAGGAGGGTTCAGATCCAGAGAAAGAATGACCTACCTCGTCGGAGCTGCCGCCATCGTCCTCATCTCCGGTAGGGGAGCGGGAGCCGGGTGACAATGGAGGTCACTGAGGGGGGGGGAGGGAGGGAGCGCGGGCAGGCGGGGCGGCAGCAAGCTAGGTGCGAGCGCGGCGTCATCTGGGGGAGCGTGGGGGCGGGGGCGGCAGCGAGTGGCCTGGGGCACGTGGTGGCGGATGGAAATGACGAGAGGTCGGAGGAATCGATGCGGCCCTTCTTTTCTTCGATGGCATGACCATCGCTCTAATGGGCCCGTAGGCCCAAGCGCGCGGCGCTTGGACAGGACGGACGCCCGCACAGTATCATTATCGATAGAACATGGCACCCTCTCTTTTCTTTGTTGAGTTATTTCTGAGTTTTTCTCGTTCCAATCTTCTGCGCGCACGGAGGTGGAAGAGCAAGCCTTCGGAACCACGCCCGCGTCTGCGACACCTACTTAGGTGTGTCGGGCGATCAGGTTTTTGGGAACGTTTAACGCGACCGATCGCTGCTGACCTACATCTTTTTCTCGGTGTTCTTGAACCTGCGACGTCTCTACATCGACTACTTGTTGGCGAACATTCGAGGGACTGCACTGCGAACATCGACCTGCATCGGCTGTGGTCCATATCTTCAAGCAATGCACTACGCCGACAACTAGTGCGCATGGAGCCACTGGTGCTTTGAGCATGGGTTCCTCCGCTGGGTGTTACTCAATGTGTTCAACTCATTAGAATAATTGCTATGATCCATATGTTTGTTATGTAGGTTTTTGCTGCTGTTGGTAGTAGTAATATTTCACACGTGCATATATTTGTCGTCACAAATTTGCTATCGTTTTCTGGATTACATTAAACCTTGGCCTGATAAGCGAGGCTAAGGTGAAGGGTTAAGTGACACTTTCATACTATGTCAAGTTCAGTTCTGGCGGACCATCTTTGGAACACCACGGACCTTGACCTTCCGTCAAGACATGTCTATGTCAACCTGGAGATTGTTCTGGCAGACCGTAGCAACCCCGCACAACTGGGTCAACGCTGGGGTGGATAGCGGTACGAGGAGGTGGGACGAGGATGTCACACACCATGAACGAGCAGTAGAGGGGAAAACGCAACAGAGGATGAAGAAATAGATCAGAGGTAGAAGAAACAGGGACGTGTTTGGATGCCTGCTTCTCGGGAGCCTGAACGAGTGCGTCCATATAAAATAGGAAAGCAGTCTGTTTGGTAAGCAAACTCCACTATTCTGCGTTGTATCCACACGCATGGTGTAACAACCCGGGTTTTTGAGAAGCCAAAAATATAAACTTTTTAAAAATTTTCCTGCAATGTGTGAAACATGTTGATGTTAGGTCAAACAAAGAACAATTTATAGCATACATATAGGATTGCTTGTAGGAGCTTGCCAGAGTTCCTTATTTAGTTTATGGTTTTGTGTTGGAGAGCACAAGTCCGTAGCGAATCCTTTTGACTCCTTCTGGAATCTCTCATGAACCCCTTGACCTAAATTCTATAATCAACCAACTATCTTTATCAACTCAATACCCGTGAATTGCCAACCCTTGACATGGACCCCACTACCCCTAGTTGACCTCTAGTGGACTCCACTAGGAGGTGTACAAGTTAGCGATACATGTATTCAATATAGGAGTCTTGGTTTATTTAGAAAATAGAAAAGCTAATCTGGCCCAAGCACATGACCAGCCAGCCCAAGATACGCGACCGGCCCAACCCTCCTCCTGGCCCCGCACGTGCCTTCGGCCCAGACGGAGCACAGCAACCTGCTCGGCCTGCCTCCCCGAGCTGGCCCAGCTCGCGCGCCATCCTCTTCTCCTGGCCGCATGGCCCAACTGTCAACCGGCCGGCCCAGCATGGCCATAAGCTCAGTAGCGCTCGTAGGCCTCCCACGTAGCCGGCCCAGCATCGCCGCCCGCACGCGCACAAGCCGCTGACAAGCCGGACCCGCCCGTCAGCCGTCACGCACCGCACGCCGCCGCATCAGGACAAGCTGACAAACCGGACCCCACGCGTCAGCCACCCCAGCAACAGGATCATCTTCCTCCCCACGCCAACCTCTTCCGCGACCGAGAGCCGACCACGGAGCAGACGCGGGCCCGGGGTCACGCACATCGCATGACCCTAATCCCTCTTGCGCCGCACCTACGCTACCGCACGCGGGCCGTCGGATGCGCCGCATGCATCACCGCCGCCCGATCACCGCCCGCCATTGGAGCCCTTGGAGCTCGGCTATAAAAGCCAACGGCCGCGAGCCCTAACCCTCAGCCTGATAGCCGCCGCCGCTGGTGGCACAACACCACACCGCGTCAAGCCGAGAGAGAGGGAGGAGGAAGAAGCAAGGAGGAGAAGGAAGCCGCTGCGGAACCGAACCTTGCCGGAGCCAGGAGCGCCGCCCCGATCGGCTACAGCGACGTAGCTGCTCGGCACGGCACTGCATCGCCTCATCACGGCCTCACCTCGCCACCGCACCGCCATCCTACCTCCACGAGCCCTACGGTGAGCCACATCGTTCGCCGCTCACCACGCTAGCCTCTTGGATGCCATGAACGGACCACGTCGGAGCACGAGCTCTTGCTCTGGCTTAGCCAACCGGTAGCATAGAAGGACCACCACGACCCTCTTGTTGAGCCAAACGGAAACATGAAGTAAAGGGAAGAAAGGGGGCGACGCCGAGCCTTCTGCTCGGGAACGCCAGCGCCGAGCGCTCTGCTTATGCCATGCATACGCATCGCACGCACGCACGCGCTCACCATGGCCAGAGCACAACCATGGCGAGACCACCGCGTCTTCTATGTCGCGGTAAAAGCGACGTTGACACCCTGACTGGCTCCGCCATGATGAGAGACACACCGCGCTCACCTTAGCCGAGGATGAAGCCCACCGGAGCCCTACGTTGCCCACCGCATCTCGTCGGAGCACCACCGCCTCCGCTTTGCCCTCACCACCGTGGCCGGAGCCACTAGGAGCACCAGGAGCTCCTTCAACACGCCTACCATGATCGCAGAAGCACCATGAAGCTCACACACTCCTCCAACTGGGCTCTCGCTACCACTGCAGCCCTGTCCAGGCACGCCGACGAACCCACG